ATATAATTTTCGGGGTATCTAAAAACAAAGTCTGACTGTATTTTCATTTTTGATCTAATAATTTTCAAAATAAAATTCACCAATAAAATTTAAAGAAAAAATAAATTATTCAATACAAGACAGAAATATTTTTTTATTTTAATGCTTGAATTTTAAAATATTAAAAGTTTTAATATTTATTTTATTTCTTTTTCAAATTTAATTTTAAAAAATGTATTTTTATTTAAATAAAATTATTTTATTATTTTTATTTTCAATTTTTGTTTCGTGTATTCCAAAATATCAAGAAGAATTTGGTGATGATATATTAAAAGCTTTAAATAAAGAAACAATTGAAAATGGAGAAATTGAAGTTAAAACGGGGGAAGACAAACTTGGAGATAATAAAATTAGAAAATGGAGAAAGTATGTAATTAAAAGAAAATCTAATGGAGGAAAGAATGAAGAAGAAAAGGTTGGAAAAATGAAAATTGTTTACAAGACGAAATAAGATTGGTGCCGTGATTTTAGGTTCAAAATCGAACATTTCTCCGATTCCGGACGGACCCTGATGGTTCCGAGAATAGAGGCATAATTGAATGTTCCATTAAGAGTAAATGAATTTTAATAGAAAATTAAGAAAAACTTTCTAAAAAAGAAAATCCTTAAGAAAAATTTATTAAATTTGAGATAAACAAAGGAGAACTTTCATTGCTTGATGCACCTCCAGTAAATGAGAAATCAAAGATAAATTTGGATGATAACGAGAAAAATAAAATAAAAAATGTATTGGACTGGAATAAACAAAGAGCGCCAATTATTTGTGGGGATGAAGAATGGCATTATTTTGATGGGTAAATTTTTAGAAAATTGAAAAAGAAAATTTGAATTTAAAAAATAAATAAAAATTATTTTTAGTTTTTGTTATAAACTCATAAACGGAAAATTCACATGGGAAGAAGCATTGGGAGAATGTAAAAAACAGGTATAAACAAAATATTTTCCCCATCCCCTCCGGAAGTCAGGGAAAATTTTTTTCAAAAAAAAAACTTTGAAATTTTCCTGATTTCTTGGCTTTTCAAAAATTAAAAAATTCCTCAAATTCCTCGTTCCAAACACCCCAAAATTTCCTCGTTTTAATTTTACAGAATTCAAACTTGGTGAGTATTCAAAGTGAACAGGAAAATGATTTTGTAGTAAGTTTAATTAATTTATAATTAAATAAAATAAAATTTATTAATTAAGGGATCTCTTAGTACAAAGGTTTTTAGATAATTAAATAATTAAAATATTTGTTAGTTTGATCAAAATTTTGATAATTTCTGTCACGGTTTTTGGATTGGAATGACAAGAAAATATATTGAAGAGACGGTTATTAAATAATTAATTTTTTGATAAAAATTAATTTAAAAGGATTCATTTAAAAGTGAATGGTCTGATGGAACTTTAGTTAATTATGGAAATGTTCCCATAAGAGTAGCTTTTCATACACCTCCATGGATGGGTGGACAACCAGATTTTGCTGGAGGTGTTGAGGAATGTGTACATTCTTACCCAAAATTGGGCTGTGATAATTGGCAACAAATATTTTTTAATCAATGGAATGGTGAAAAATAAGAGGGGAAAAAATTCTTTAAATTCATATTTTAGATGCACGTTGTTCGATTAAATTAAGCGGGGCAGTTTGTAAGAAAAGACAATCAATTCAAAAAATTTGAAAAGAAGAAATTAGAGAGAGAAAGATTAAAGAATTTCAGAAACAAATGTTTAAAAAAATATTTTTATAATTTTAATAATTTTGAAAAAAAATAGTTGACTCTCGTTATAATCTTGCTCGCGTTAAGGAAAAACCGATACATTAAAGCTCAACTATGCCTGTGATCCAAATAAAAATATCAGAAGAAACACCTTTTTTCATCCCTTTTTAAGGTGCTTGAAGGGCAAAGTCCCCCCATATCCATCCAAATCTCAATCGTCAAATCCCTAGATATCCCCAAAATTTAATATCATAAAAACACCCACCTCACTTCCATTTTTGCATTCAAAATCAGAATGACTATTTTCAACAGTATTATTAATTTTCTGATTTAAATTTACATTAAAATTTAATTCTTTTAGTAAAACTTCTCCAAATTTATTTTCTGTTTTTGTAGAATTTATTAAATTAAAACAAACACCAATCTCCTTAAAATAATTAATTAACTAAATAATTCAATTAAAAACTTGCCTTGTCTAAAGTTGAAATAAATAAATTTTCACTTTTTTGGCCACTCAAAATACGTCCCTTTTCCTCATTTGTGTAACTTAAAAGTGTTTTTTCGTTGAATGATTCACCAGCTATTGCAAATACAGAAACGTTTTTAGATGACAATTTTGTTCTATTAAAAAGTAATTTTTTTGTTTTAGTAGATTAATAATAATTAATTATGAATTTAATTGTTATATGTATTTATTCAAAAAATTTCTTTACAAATTTTAAACAGGAAATAGTATATCTCCCAAAAACTATATCACTCCAAATAAAATTATACTTCATAACCTCCCCCATTTTCACGCTCAAAATAAACAACTTGAAACAAATAAAGCAGATACATTTCTAGTTAAATACACACATCTGAACATTCGCAAAAATTTCATGAAAATTTTCCCATATATTCGTTTTTATCCTTATATCCTCTTTAATACATATTCAAAACATACATTGCTTCAATACTTTCATTAACCATATCAGTATTTTCCCCATTATGAACCAAAAGAATGATATTTTTTGAATTATTCGAATTTTCCGAGAATAATTGTGTGCCTATAATTAAGGCTTTGGCTGGTGAAGTTTCTAAATGACGGCGAGGTCTGAGGGAATGAATTTGTTCAATAACCTTTTTAAAATTAATTTTTAAAAGAAATTTTCTAAAAATTCCTTCTCTTTACTTTATCAACATTAGAAGAATCCAAAGAATTTATTGGATTTAATACAACAGGTGAACGATGGAAAGCAATTAATCCGTATAAGTTGGAAGAACTTTCTTTAGATATTAAAGCAATATGTCTAAATAATTAATTGAATATATGTAAAGAAAAATCAGAAAAAAACACCTCAAAACTTTTTCAATCCTTTTTTGTTGATTTTTAAAATAATCAAAGTCCTCTTGTGAAATATCAAATAAAACAAGAATTTGTAAAGAATTCTTTTCATTTTGGCAGCCTAATAATTAAAAAAAAATAAAAATAATATTTTAAAAGCTAACAAAAAATTTTTTGCATTTTTCCTTTGATTTTTCCTTTTTTCAAATCTACTTTGTTTTCAATTTTAAAAACCTAAAATTACGATAATCCCCAAGTTTTAGCCACAAAATAAATATATTAAAATTAATTTACAAAATCACCATTGGAATTTTTTGTATTTATTTCATTATTAGATGCTGCTTCTGATTGTGGCAAATAAATTGAAGCAAGGAAGAAGATAATTGGAAACAAAAAATTGAAAATATTAATTATTTTTAGAGGGAAAAAAGATACTTTTAGGCTTTCAGCCATTAAAATCTAAAATTAAAGACAGTTTTTGATTCTTCTAAAATTATTAAATAATTCAAGTGGAAATAATAACGAATATTTAAATTTAAAAAAAATTTTTATAGGCCCAAAACAGATAGAACAAAACAGAACAGAATATATTAATAATTCCAGTATCAATAATAACCAATAAAATGTTTAAAATAATTTAGGTCCAAAACAATCCACTCAAATTATGGCCTAACTAATAAGTGTCTTTCTTTAAAAGAGATTATATTTAAATTATTTAATTTTCTGTAAAAAATATTTATTTAATTTAAAATTAAAGATGTTGGGGAATGCGCAGATTAAAGAATGAAAGTTTGTGTTGTGTACATTTATTATACTAATTTCCCGTCAATCACGCTTCATTGCATTTTCGCCGTTCCCCCTTTAAAAAAGGCAATTTGTTTATTTTCTTTTTTTATTTATCTAGTTATTAAAGGCTTATTATTATAAATAAATAAATAATTATTTTTTCTCGTTTTGATAAGCTATAATTAATTTATGACAAACTTTTTATTTTTATTTATTTCGGTCGGTGTGGTCATTTTAAGGGATTGATTTTTGGGAGATTTAAATATAAAAAGAAATCAATTTTTTGGGAATTTAGAGGAAATTAATTAATTTGAAACCTACATATTTTATTTAAGAAATTACTGTGTAAGTAAATATTTTTTTGGTATTATTTTAAAAATTTAATAGTGACTCCCCCACCCTATGGAATTTAAATTTTCCTCTGTTTATTTTCCATCTACAAAGTCGAACGCTTGTTCTTATTAAGCTTTGTGGTTCAATTGGATTAAGATATCGGTGTTAATTTAAAATATTATTAAAATTAATTAAAGTCATTATAGTGCAACTATCTAAATAAAAATACTTTTAACTACATAAAATAATAAATTGTTTTTTGCTTTTCTGGTACTTTAAATGTAGTAAGGTAATGCATGTAATCAATCAAAATAACCAAAAAATCGAGAAAGGAAAGTGGAATTATTTTCACACAGAAAGCCGCTTATCAAATCCTGATTTTCTTTTAAATAAGGATTAGGCGATGGATTGATGAAAAATTGCTTGGACTTTTTAATTTATTTAGAGAATTAAGGAAAAATTGTTCAAAAAATAAATATATAAATAATATTTTTAAAGAAAAGTAATTTGGTACTTTGACAAAATAAAATTTTAAAAATTTAATAAAAATTAAATTCCGGTGCGGGGAATCGAACCCCGGCCGCCTGGGTGAGAACCAGAAATCCTAACCACTAGACCACACCGGACATTGAAATGTTTGCTTTAAAAATCAACTAAAAAGAAATAATATGAGTAATTTATAGCCATTTAAACTGATAAACTTTGTCATTCTGATTTTTATTTTTTTTAATAAATTTTTTTAATTTTGCATATTTTTTTTAATTTTTTTATTTTTAATAAAATTTAGCTTTATTTTAATTTATTGATTAAAAAACAAATAAATGTCTTCATTTCCTTCTTTCTCTCAAAAGCATCTTTCTGGTAATCGATTCCAAATTCGAGGATTTCCAAAAATTTGGACTGACAAACTTACTTTTGACGATATTGCGGTTTCTTTTAAATTTATTTTTAATTTATAAAATTAATTTAAAGTGGTATTTGTATGATTTATTGGTTAAATATGGAGCTATTGAGAATATTGTGATTAGCTGTTCTAAGAGGGATATGGTTGTTTATGGGTATGATTTTGGGGTAATTAAATTTTGAAATAAATTTTTAGAATTGTTGATATGAAAAGTGGAAAGGGTGTTGCTCGTATTAAGAATGAAATGCTGGATAAATATGGAAAGTTTTATTTACAAAATTGGGATGCTGCTTTATCTGTATATTTTTTTTAACTTGATTAAATAAGGAGGGAGGGGAAGAAGTAAGGAGGAAAGAGGGAGGAATTTAATTTCAAAAATTCTTTTTTTGGTATTATTATTTATTTTTTATCTTCAATTTTCTAAACATACTATATCCTTTATTCTTTTGATTTTTCCATGACTCAAGTAGGGATAATTTAAGGGATTTCAGTATATTTTTTAGTAAGTTCTAAAAATTCTGAACATTTATTAAATTTTTAACCTAAGCTGAGCATTTAAAAATTAAAAGAATTTCATTTCAAGTCCTGACATAGTCATCTGGTTTAATTACAGCCAGCGTCTTTTTGTATTTTCAAAAATCTTCCAAAAAATTATTTTGTTTCCTTTTTTAATAAAAAAATAAAAGATTTTTTTTAATTTTTAGTTTCGACAAGTCGATGCGGACACAACCAAAAAGCTTGAGGATTTAACGAAAAAAATTTCTTTGAAGGACTTAGTTAAACAATTAACTCCACCACAAAGTACCGAAAGTTTTCATTCAGTTAATACTGCAGACAAAGCGACAGTTGATTCTTCTGATTTTGTTTATAGCCGGGAATTTCTTTTGAGTTTGCGTGGAACGGTTTCTCTTAAATAATAATTTTTAAATTTATTTTTTGATGTTCTATTTAAGTAATTTTTTACATAATTTCATTTTTCAGGGGTTTTTGGGAGGGATTGTAATTTTTTTATTAAAGCATTGATTGGTTTTTTACGAGGGAATTTTAGCTTTCGACAACAACTTTTTAGGAGATTAGAACTCCCTGAATACCGAACCAAAAATTTTTTGGGGTCTATTAGGAAACACTCGAAAGAATAAATAAGCAAAATTTCACAGCTTTTGAACATCTACAAAAAATTCTATAACCATTTTTGTAAAACAAACTTTTTTATGAAACAACCTAGTATAACACATTTAGGGGATTATTAAATGTTTTTTTAATTAATTGTGGAATTTAAATTAGAAAAAAATTTATTTTTATTTTTTCTCATAGATTTCTCCATCTCGTTACCAGACTGACCCGCAATTTTCTGAAATTCTTCGTTCTGTTGAAAATATTGATTATGGTTATCCAGCTGCTCGAAATAATAATTTTAGAAATAATAATCGCAATTTTCGTCAAAATGAGACTCGCGGAGGTTATAATTACAACAATGGAAATGTATAGTTTTTAATTATTTTTGGGGAAATAAACAAAATTTTTAAGGAAAATTAAGTAATTCCCCCTTCCAAAAGTCTTTTTTTTTAATAAAAATTTATTTTATATTTTTTGGCTTATTTTGCTTTAATTGATCTAAAACTGGGTCTCGGATCTCGAATTTTTAAAATTCGCAGTTTTTAGCTGAATTTTTTTGAGGATTTTGGAAGGCTAGAAAAGAAAAAAAAAATAAATTATTTTGTTCTAAAAACTACAAGAAAAACAAAAAAAAATCCTCATAATTTTCAAAGGACCAAAAATCCAGAAAATGAGGAAAAATTCTTACATATCCTAGCCCTAAAAATAATTTTAATTTTTGTAAATTTTTATTTAAAAAAATAATTAAAATATTTAAAACAATTGATTCCCCATAGAAAGAAATTTAAAATATTTTTTTGGAGCCTTTAAAATTTAATTATTTTTATATTTTTAGAAGACCAACAACAATAATAACAATTATTTCAATCGAAAATGATCTGAATTTTTTTTTGAATTTTAAAAATATTTTTGGCAAAGAAAATCTCTCTTCAACAATTCTTTTGATGACAAATTTAAAAAGAAAATACAAAATCTCTTTCAAAAAAAAGTAAAAAAAGTCTTTAATTTATTTTAAATTTATTTTAAGATAAAAATTAAAAAAATATTTTTTACAATTTTTTTTAGCAAAGTCCATATTTAATAATCATTTTATTAGCAAATTCTATATATTGTTTTTGGGCCTCTTCTATTGATAGACCTTTAAAAAATAAATAATTTTGAAAAATCTAAACAAAAATTCCCTTTTCCTCCCACATTAAATCAGAAAAAAAATTATTTTTTAATTTTGGGAAAGTAAAGAGAAATATATTTAAAATTTCAAAAATATTTTGCATATGAGTTAGTCAAAAATTTAATTTCACTCTCCAAAAAAATTTTTTTGGGAATGTTTTTAATTAATTAAATCGTAGTCAAAAAAATAATTTAAAAAATTTTAATTTATTTTAAGTTCAAAAAAACCTCTTTTTCCATTCCAGGCCTCCCATTTTTTCTTTCCCCTGATATCAAAAGTTCCAGGTTTACAATTATTATTATCTCCACAACTTCCTTGTTTATAAAGAGCATAAAGTTGCATTAATTCTTCGTTATTTGGAGAAGTTTTGAGATTTTTAATCTTTTTTTAATTTTAATTAAATTTATTTTTTGGGGAGTTTTTCTTACCTTTGCAGCTATTTCTTCAAATTCCTTAAATTTTCTTTTAATTTATAAAAGTTTTGGTTTATTGGAGATTTTATATTATCCCGCCCTAAGAATCGCTTGTGATGGAATTGTATGGATGCCCCCTTTTCGGCCCCAAGACAACCAACCCTTACAATCTGATATGAACACCAGGGTGTCCCTTTTACCTCTTTTTAGGGGAATTTTTCCCCTTTTTGACCCTCTCGCCCCTTTTTCTGCACTGCCACTTTTTTGAGGTGCTTTGGTGATTTGGAAAGGGACACTCTGATGAACACAAACCTGCCCACTTTTGTAATTAACCCGAGAACCTAGCCCTTACTGTTTTGACAGCATTCCTCCATATATTTTTTGAATTCTGTATCCCGTTCTATTAGACTTTTAGCAGTAGCACGATTACATGTTTATGAATGGAGTTTATTTATTCCATTAATTTATTTACCCTCTCCTCTCAAATTTTTAATTAACTAGTTAATTAATATTTTTATTAAACTAACTTGACTACAACTTGCCATTAATAATTTAAATATTTAAAAACTTAATAGGGTAACAAAAAATTAAAAAAAAATAAATTTTGATTTAAAAAGACAAACAAATGTGTCAATATTTGCGATCTAAATATATTTTCTAATCAATAAATAGGACACAATGTTTGTTCTTCTATTTATTTGGCCAAATAATATTAGCTATGTTATAATAATTTTTGATTAAAGAAAAACAAATTTTTTGATAATCGTAGGTTCGGAAATATATTTTTGTTTAGAAATTTATATAATTTTGTTTAGAAAAAATAAGTTAATTAAGCATATTCAAAGTTTTCTCTTTAAGAATTCAATTTAAAACACGTTAAATCTCAGACTTTTCTAATTTAGACTTTAATTTTAATTGTTTAGTGTAAAATATTATTTAATATTATCTTCAGTCGAATTATTTTACTCAAAACAAGATTAACCTAGAAAAGATAGGTTTTATTAAATTCTTTATGTCACTAAGTTGGGGAGCTGTCTAAAAACACCTAGTTAAGTCAAAAGAGGTTCGACTAAATCTCTCATTTGTAAAAACAATTTTTGTTTAAATTGGGAGAAGAATATGTGTATTTATTTAATATGGACATAAATATCTGAATTTTATACAAAAAATTAAACAAAATTTTTAAATACAAATACTATGTACATTTGGGTAGAAAAGACTTGAGGGGATATATTTTAGTTTTTTTGGAGTTACATATGTACAAAATCATATATTCTTTTTAAATAAAATTTAAATTCATTTTTTAATTTTACTTTGTTTAACCATTTTTCTTTCATTTTCAACAATTTTTTCATTGTTAAATTTAAAATCTTCTTCTAACAAAGAATTATAAAATATGTCGTTTGTTCCTTCTTTAATTATTATTTGATAAGCCTAAAATATTTAATTTAAAATTAATTTAAAATAATATTATTTACCTTCAAATTAAGTTTAATAAAATTTATATCATTCCAATTAATTTGGTTTTTCTCATATTGTTCATTTAATTTTTTCATTGCAATTTCTCTAAATTTTTTTGGATCTTGAATCTTTACTTGTTTTTCCTTTTTTGCAATTTTATGTTCGTATTGGTGTATTAAATAAATAATTGTTGGTTTATTTTCTAATTGGAGAAGAAAAGACGAGAAAAAACATTTATCTTCAGCTGGAAATTTTTAAAAATTTTAAAATATTTTCAAGAGGAATTATTATTTTTAGAATGGGCGATCGAGGATGGCCTCTATTAATTTTTGTTTAATATTTTTGAATGTCTATCAAGTTTATTTTTTGGTTTGACTGACTGCCGAATAGCAATTACTAACTATACATAGTTAGAATTTTTGTGATATACCTTAATTATTTTACAAAATCATTTAAGGCCATTATCTATTGCTCAACACTGTCCGGGACTTTAAAAAATTATTAAACTTACAGTTATCTTCAAATAAATTAATTATTCCCGATTCTTCATTTTCTCTCTCAGATACAAAACTTTCCGCATCAGATTGATAATTTCTGGGTGATTCTATATCTCTGCAAGAACCTTCAAAATCACTGACACTTTCCTCATTCTCTTCTTCCTTTTTAATTATTCCATAATTTAATTTTTCCACTTCTAATTTATGAATAGTTTTCAAGAAAATTTTGTCAGTTTTTTCAAAATTTTTAATTTCTTTTTCCATTTCACTCAACAATTCTCTAGCTTTCTCAACAAATTTTTTTACTGGTGTTTTCATTTTATTTATTTTATTCCAATCATTTTTCAATTTTTCTTTATTTTCTAATAATTCTTTTATTTCTCCCTTTTTTGGATTGGCCCTTTTCAATTTTGGAATTTTTAGACTTTTATTATTATTAGAAGAAGAAGAATCTTTATTTTCCCCAATTAAATCTTTAGCATTTTTTATTGCTTCAAAATAATCTTTAGAAGAATGATTAATTTCAAGCAATAATATTTGATATTTATTTAATTTATTTTTATCATAATATTGTTTAAATTCTTCCTTTAAACGCACATATTCATATGTGCATTCCACCATCTAAATTTTTTTATTTTTAGAGGTTTTGAAATTCTGAATCTCCGTCCCTAACAACAATTCCTTTTAAAAAGTTTCACGCTTATAAAAATTAGCTACTCAAGTTATAATTCCGGTATTTCTTTCAAAAATCTAGCTGGATATCCAATTATTAACTTTAACATTTTTTTCAGTCTCCGAAAAGGTAGGTAATAGGCAGGCCGAAACTTGCGGACCGAAACTTGCGGACCCGACGAATTTCTCAAAACATAGCTCATTCGAAAGAGCTCGACGAGCTGAGTCGAACGTCAAAACCATCGTGATTGTACAAGCTTGGAAGTTATGATAGAAAAACTAAAACCTAAATTTATGGTCCGCAAAAGTTGGTCCGCAAGTTTCGCACTACCAGGTAATATGTATTTATAAATTATAAATTACCTTATTGTTAATTGTTTTTAATTCTTCATCAAATTTATAAATAATTTCTTTAATTTCATTAATTTTATATTCGGGGACTTTAATTTCATTATTATTCATTTCTTCCTTACATTTATTTTTTACGTCTAATTTAGTTTCTTTCCGAAAATTATTTTCTTCATTTTTTAAATTTATAGCTTCATTAACAATTTCTTTATAATGTTTTAATAAATTTTTAACTTTTGAAATCCACATATTTTCTTTATTAATAATTTCCTTATTTAAATCTGTCAGATCTGATTTGAATTCTTCCAATTGTTTCGAATTTTTTGAATACTTCAAATCTCTTATAACACTGTGGCTTTTTTCTATCGTTTGTTTACTTGCTTAAAAAAATTTTTTTTTATTTAATAAAAATTTTATTTTAAATATTTTTAGTAGAGTAGAGAGAGGTCGAATTTTTAATAGGTTTTTTAATTGAAGACTTATGTTAAAAGACTAGGCAAAGATAAAATTTATTTCCGTTCCCATGTTTAATTTTTAAATTTACTCATTAAATTATCCGTCAGTTGCCACACATCAAGATTAGACAATGAATCTAAACTAATACTTCGTTTGATAGATTTGATAGATTCAGTCGACTTTTTTAACATTGCATTACTTGAAGGCCACAAAATAAAAAGAAAAATCAAAAATAGAAGAAAAGTTTTATCAAAAATCATTTTCAAATCTAAAAATTTAAAGAATTTTTGAGAATTTTTTTTTAATTTTATTTTTTTCGAAAATAGTAGAGCTGTCCAAACTGAAAATTTTCTTAGAAATTCAACAGATTTGGACAGCTCTTTAACAAATAAGTTTAAGAAAGGGTCTTACTCAGTTTTTTGTCTTTTAAAAGCATGTCTAGAAAAACTTAAACTTTATTTTTTAAATTAATTTGACTTTGAAGCAATAGACTTCTAAAAATGGCAGTGAAGAAAAAAGTAGACATTCTTTAAAAAGGAAATTAATCAAGAAAAAAATCAAAGTCTGGAGCTAGCCTCTAACACGCGCCTCCACTCATGTCTGTCTATACAGACAAATTTATAGACATTATTGCCCTTTATAAATTCCTTTAAACAATAGAAATTTCCATATAATGCCCTTTCTTTAAAAATGCCAGACAATTAAAAGGGCATTTATTTGACTTCAATTGACGTAAATCGTCTATAAATTTAATTAAAACCCAGACAGTTAATTTAAATAAATATTGATTTTAATTTAAAGTTATTTTAAATTTAAATTAAAAATTTAAAATGTTGCTTTAATTAAAAACATTTTCACAAACAATCTCAATTTAAAGATGTAAAAAAACTTTTTCACTTACCCAACGCTTAAACAAAATTAAGTACATATATTAATTTATATATTAATTTTTTGCTTGTTTACATTTATTTGTATTTTTCGCCACTATAATTGCGCAGATGCGCTAGTGGTTTGCTCAATAAAATTTAAAAATTTAAAATTTTAGTTAAAATTGTTGTTTTTATTTTTTTTGTAAATTTTAAGGATTGAGACGGGAATTCTCAAAACTTTGAGGATGGTGACGGGGTATAATCTTGATTTTAAGGATATAATTCAGAAAATATGTATATCCACCCCTAAAATAAATTTTTATAATTATGTATAAATTATCTCAAGTATATAAACAATTTATTTTGATTTTTAACCAAATACTAGTTAATCTCTAATAAATATTTATTTAATAAATTGTTTTTGAAGATTTCGATTTTGAAGATAAAGTCAAAAATTAAATAATTATTAAATCGACTGTCCCTTCCAAAAAGCTTATTTTCCTCTTCATACTACAGTATCGCAAAGCTATTTAGTCGCAAACATTTAACTTTTAAAGTAATTAAATATTTTGGATATTGTTGATTAATATTGCTAAATATTTATAGATGAATAATCCACACTTCGA